TAATTATCCTATTTAGGTCAAATATATACCGTTTGCTTCTGGAAAATCTCTATCGATGTGTGTGGAGGTGTTCTAATAGAATTTTGCTCTCCTATTGACCAAAGCTGGCCGCTTCGGGCAATTTCTTCATTCAGACGGTCGAATTGTTGATGGTACAGATCTGAATTAAGAGTCTGGCCATAGCTCAACAGCTCATAGTAAATGATTCCCTACCTAGTCTACCAAACACGTAGCAGAAACTTCCTATATGGCGTGCTGAAAATATGACTCCATTGCAATTAAGTAGATTCTCATTTAGATTGATTTTTTAAGTTCAAGATCATAAATACGGTACCACATTTTGTATGTAATCAAAGGCAAATAATCGTGGCACATTTGGCTCCACATTTGAGTTTCCTCAGTATGAATTTACTATAACTTACTAATAAGATAGCGCAAGACCGGCTCTTTCTATGTTTCCATCTTAAATATTGTTGGATCAAACAAACGTTTTGTGGGAAACTTAAGCAGTGCTAATGTTGACTTACGATTCAGGATGATTAGAGACACATAAAAAAGTTGTATTTGGTTGCCAATATTCGCCTTTAAAATAGTTGTAATTTCAAATATTTCCAAATCTCCAAATAATGAGATTAATTTTATTTCTCTTGGTTGCGTTAGCCCTTGGTATATCTCATAGTTCCTGCTTTACCTGAACTTTTCAAACCACATTTGTTCTTACTGTGCTATTATTATTATTACTATATTAAATATTTCAATGTTGCACCAATTATTCAAGGTACCCCTCATTGTCGAAATCAGACCATAGTTTTTCAACCAAACCATAGCTTCTCAGTGCCTATAGTTGACTTTATACCGAAAATGTTATAATAAAAGAAAAGTAATATGTAAGGTATTTTAATAAAAGTAAGAAAAAACCTTATCCTGATAATAAAGAATGCAGTGTAGTACTAAAATTTTACGAAAAACGGTTCAGTCCTTATATATAGGAGTTTTTGAACTTCCTCTTCATGTTAAAACGTATATTGAGAAAATTATGCAAATTTCTTTAGATATACCATACAAAAGTTTTTATCGAAAATGGGTAAAATAGGCCCATGACTTACTCCAGCTTCCATACACTTGCAATAATGACTTTCTTTATTATACTCTAGCAATATGTTGTTGTAGAGTATATTAAGTTCGACACAATGTTTGTTATACCCAAAGACGAAACGTCGGAAACCTTGTTAAGTATTTTTCGCAGCCGCTGATATGGATTTATAGCGTATATCTGCCATACGAACTAAAGCATAATACTCTTATAGCTTCGGTACAACTGAAGTTAACGACTTTTGTTGTTTTAGTTTGGGGAATCGATATAGCTGACAAGGTCGCCAAAAGTGTAATCCGCTTGGTTATCGAACTAGTTCAGGAAATACGCGAGTCGCTAAAAGCAATACACAGGGTGAGATGGAATGCCTTAGGGGTATGAAGGATCGATAAGATCATGGCATAATGATGACACATGTAGAAAGTGTAGGAAGTAAGTAAAAGTGAGACGCTTGAGTCCTTCTCTACTTCTGTCTGGCCTAACCTAGAACTCAACTTAAATATGTAAGAACTTCGCAGTTCAAGAGACTGGATGAAGTAGCAATCAATTGGATATCAAGTATATATTAAACTTCGCAAAAAGCGTTGACGTCCTCCACGACGTAAACTTAAAATTAACCTCCAACTGGAATTACAAAGGTAAGTCTATGTATGCCGTGACAGGCAGCAGCTACTTAACCCTGTACAAAGTTTGAATTAAGCTTAATTTTTTTAGACAAAAGTCCTGTTTGAAGTTCTTTAAAACATAATTGCTTGATCACAAAAGGTTAATCTTCCAATTTATTTTCTTTTAAGAAAGCGTATTAAGATATGTCACACGTGTTATAAATTTATTTTTTATATAGCAAAGGGGGACACTTTTTGAAGCAAGCGCTGATTTCGTCCAACCCACCCTTTTGATTTTTTTTGTCAAAAGTCATTCGCTTACCTTATTACCACTGGAATACGCGCATTCTCCTACAATCGCAAACACATAAACACGCATATAAATTACATACACTATTCACTCACATCTTCACTATTTTTCACACGTTTTGTTTTTGTATTTGCGGTTTCTACTCGCGCTACACGTTTAGTGCTCAGCTTTTTCTATCACTGTTAGCTTTTCTGTAATTTAAATTCTTCTAGCTTTACTTTTGCCTAACTATGCATATGAAAATGTGTGTGTGTGTTTGCTCCAAGTATATTGTAGCCGGAAACTCTCGGCCAACGAAAGTGTGTTTGTGAGTTATACTAGCTAAAAAACAAGAAAAACTGTGTACAAAAACAAATTGCGCGAGTACACAACAGTTTTCATGTAAACAAATGATTTAGTATGCGTACGCTCTGAAATCCTTAAAATTGTTCAATAAACTGTCTTACACCGAACGGCCGAAGAGCTACCACTAGCGGAACCATCACATCTCTACATATGCACAAGCATACTTGCAGGCGCAGGTTTGTTGGGAGGGATACGAGCGCATTGCACTCGCATGTCCGAATGAGTGCGGTGGTGTTTTCCGCTATAATGGAATGCTAGCAACGGTCGCAAGTCTCTAAAATGTTGTCGAGCCTGAATTTGTGCGCAGAAAAGTGGACTATTTTTGAATTTAGTCAGAGAGCACAATATTTGCGAGACAGGACGATGAGTGTTCAAGTTGAAAGTTACTCAAAATGTTTAGAAGACTCAAAATCCAATTGCTTAAATTTGAAGTATAGTCATCTTCGCAGTATTTTTTGTTTTTAAAATACATTTAGAGTTTTTTTGAAGGATTTCTAAAAAAACTTCTCTGGCTACTAAAGAAATAATTAAATTATCTTCCGCGGTTATACGCAACCAAATTCAAAATTTTGATTTGTGAACACTTAGCATAACAACTTGAAATATTTACCTGAATTTCATCCGACTGCACTTTCAGACAAAGCCCTATTTAAGTACCAACCACATCCGACGCTGCTTAATTTCGGTGATCGATAAGGTGGAGTCGCTAAGTATAGGTCGAAATTCTATCGAGCTATAACCTAAAATTAGTGAATTTGGTAAATAACCTGATTTTTTCCAACCCACTTGCCCAATGTTTCAGAAGTTGGAGCGTTGGGAGCAGTGGAAGATATCCCTTCTCATCCGAAAGACACATGCTCTGCATTCCGCCGAATCCACTTTATCAATTTTCAGAAAGTGAGATTTTAAGGATAGGTGCCCTGTGATGACCCCTACAATGTTACTAAGTTCCTTTTTCTCTAGCAGTAGAAACTTTTTTTTCTGCCCACTAACAACACTACCCCAAAGTTCCTTTTTATCATCGGATCTTTTCGTTATATAGTCATATGAGCCGGTTCGTAGATGATTTTTACCGAGTTTCCTAGTGAGGGTCTAATTTTATACTTCCTGCATACCCTAACACAGTGATACTTAGTATAGGCGCTAAAAATAATTGCCGCTTGGCTGTCCACTGGAAGATTTATGGACTTACTGGTTAGAGCAGAAGCTCGTTTGACACCTATTCAGCTTGGTTTTTCATACTCTATCGTCATCATAATTCCGAGATATTTGACAGAGCTCGAGATTGCACCTCTTGAATTGCGAAATTTTTGTCCTTCTTGTAAAAAGAAATATTTCTGTTTTTTCTTCGTTCAGTAGGTGAAGATATCAAGGGCCCTCGCTATGAAGGAAAGCGATGTCGTCTGCTACGCGGGAGTTTTTCCTATCTAGTAGAAGTACTAATTCATTGCTCAATGGAACCGAAAACGAGTGGGTTCAGATGCCTTCTTGCGGGGTGATCTATGACTCCTCTATTGCTTAGAATATAATAGATTTAATCAGGCAAGCATGTTTGAATTAATGTAAAAAAAGCGATAACCGTTGTTATATGCACCTTCCACGTCGATGAATGTTTCTGGGGGAAAATTTCGTTTTTCCAAGGAACTTTTGATTGTCCCAACTGTCTTATGTAGGGCGGCATCAACTGATTTTCTTTTGACGTACGCGTGGTGCCTGAACTCTAAACGGTTGGGTGGCATTTGTCGTTTGATGAGATGGGATTCACACTATTGATTAGGAAGAATGTTAAACTGATCTATCTATAAAATTTAGTAGTTTTACTTTTCCGGTTTCAATATAAAGACAATTTGCCTTCTGCCACCTACTTGGTGTGTACGCTAAACAGATACAGGCATTATATATACCAGCAAAGCGGAGACACATCATACATGCATCATAACCTTTTAGCATTCCAAAAATACTCGTATATTAAATTGTCTAACGGAAGACTTTGTGTTATTATATATTGTATATTTCTGTCAGTATAACCCAAATTTGGTAATGATAACTGCGAATTTTGACCTTAATATTTTTCGATATATAGCCTTCAGAAAACGATAATTTTCAAAACTGATTCAATAATATTATGAAAATCATGGTAGATTTATTCAGTGTCTAAACTCAACCTGGGCAGGTAGGTTATTTTACCAGCCTTCTTTAGGCTGTCATATTAGGTATGCCTCTTAATATCGGTCTAGCCTTATGCTAAAGTTGTATATAACTTAAATTAAATTTAGAAAACAAATCTGCTTTAGAAAACGTTGCAATAAAATGGGATGTTTTGAAGAGCTTTTGTTGAGTGGCTTAGTAAATATACATAATGATAAATTCTTACCAACTTTAAGCTCCACTTACACCAAAAAATCACTCAATTGTTTGACTTAGTAGCTTGTCACTCCACTGGATAACTTCTTTTCACTTTTCTTTTACTTTCAAAACAAACACACTCACTTATATACCGCTGAGCTTTCGGAAGCTTTTGCGTAATTGTAAAAGCTTTCAAGATATCATGTGCACGTACACGAAATGTCAACCGACTAACCGACTGGCCGATTAATGTGCCGACAAACCCACACTCCCCGATTCTTACCGCATTCGCTGCCACGCTTTGTTGTGTTGCAAAGCCAACGAATTTCCAATTTTTGTTTTCAACTTTTCTTTTTTTCACATATTCGCCAATTCTCTTTTGCTAGCGCAACGCTGTGTGAGTGACGGGTATTTGTTGTTTTCTGCGTTTCTATTGCTAGCAAAAGGTATGCGCTGCATTGCTGGGTTGCGACATTCGTGAAGAGTAATAGTCTCGTGCGTTGCGTAGAAATAAGTTGCGGGCCGCCGCAGTAGCAGCTTGTAACGCGGACTACTCTGTAGAATAATGGCCAAACGGCGTTGGGCTAAAGGTGTGGATACTTGAAAAAAAATAATAAGAAAATAATTGCAAGAGAAATTAAGTAATTTCTGCACGGTACGGTGTCTATTAGTAAATTTACTAATATTCTGTTGAAGTTTTTTTTGTTTCTATGCAAGCGTTCGTTCGTTTTTTTTTGTAAGAAAAGAGCGGTGCTTGAAGTACAACATTTTGTGGACAAGTTCGTGCAAAAAGCGCTTTGCAAGTACTGCGTTTTGCGAAAAAATTGACTACATTGAAAAAGTAAGCAAATATTTTTTAATGTAAATAGTAGTATTGTTGTTGGATAATGCAAATTTTAAGCAAACATACTTTTTGGCCATGGCATGTGTTCAAAAGTTTAATCAGAATTTTTTATATAATCAAGTAATAAAGTAGGCAAAACAAAAACAATGCCAGCAGCGGCAAAGACAAGAAATGTGGCAACAACAACAAACTATTTCAAAAGCAAAACAACAATAAAGCGCTCAAGCAATACGAGTCACCAAAAATACTTTTTTGGGTGTGTGAAAAGGATATTAACGAGGCGCACCAGCACAATTTCAAGCGCTACCCACACATACATACATACAAACATATATATGTATATATCTATAACTGTGTGCGTGTGCTCGGTTGTAACACAACTACAATGACACCAACGTCAAGTACACGGGTGTGTTTTACACCCAGTTTCGTAGCGGTCGCCGGGACGTATGAGTGACAAAACTGAATTCCTGCTTTATTCCCACAACCAATGTGTGCCAGTAACAAATTTATATATGTGGGAAAGTGCTTGCGCGTGTTTGTGAAAATGTCCAGGTGGAGTTAATGGTCAGCACCTAAAGTGTGTAAAACTGTTGTTTTTGTTGTTGTTGTTGTATATATCTCGTGCATAGTTAGCTGGGCGGTGTAGCGCCAGTAGCTGCCGGAATGTTTGTTGGGGGAGAAGGTTGTGCTCATTTAATGGCACACACGATATCAGAAATGGGTTGGAGAGTATATGAGTGTGTGTGTGTGTTGCATGTGAAACGTTAGCGAAAAGGAAACGCGCAAAAAAAGTGGTAAGATAAAATGGTTCAATTGTTCGATTAGCTGATAAGGAGTAAAGGATTTTATGTGGCTGGAATTTTAAGCAGTAATACCTTACCTGGTAAAATTTATAGCGAAATAAAAAAAAGAAAAAAATAAATAAACTTCTTGACCAACAAAAATTCTTCAGCGTATATAATGACAGTTGAACAACTTTTCTCGCATGCTAGTTTTAAGCTTTGAGTTTTCTTTATTTGCACTTACTTATCTACCGGGCTTAGACGTAATAATGGCGAATGTTGTGCCAAAGCGCATAGACGAAGGAGAGCCAGAGCCATTGAAACCAACAATGATGCAGTAGAGCTTAGTGTTGTTAGCAGGAGGTGGTTAGTTGCGTGACATTTGGCGTGGTGTGAGAGAAATATTGTAGACAAACAGAGCAAATTGTAACGACTGCAAAGATAATGAAAACAAAAATCGTTAAATACATAATGCCAATTTTTTTAAATAAGAAAGTACAATTTATGTGGTGTTATATTATTTAAATTAGAAAAAATTATTTAAAATGAGATTATGATATTTTCTTGGTTTTTTCAGTTTTAAGAATAGGTTAAAGTTGCAGGGAGCCGAGGAATACGGTGGCTGTGGCATGATTACGGTTTTATTTTTGGCTCCGATACTAATGCGACATTGTTTTGCTCAAAATTTAGCAATTTCGGAACAAACATCTCTGCCACATGTTTCATGCCCAAACCATTCGAGGAAATTGTATGGCATGACCCGATTGATATGCCGATATCCAAGTTCCTTAATAGTGATTCGCCGATTTTCTAGAATAATTTTTTCACTGTTTCGGTGTTTTCTTCGCTTGTTGACGTGGTCGCACCTTTAGGATGCTTATCGTCATCAACATCTTCTCGGCCTTCTGTAAAGCTCTTGTACTACTTATAAACACTTTTTTGAGACAAACCGAATGCCACATTCAACATTTCAAGTGCTTTGAAACACTTGGTAAACATATGTGTCCGATTATAACAAAAACAAAATATCGAAAATCGAATGTTCACAGCCGCGAAAAATCAAAATTCAGCTTATTCTTTGAACACACCTCGTATATCATATATTTTATTAGAAAATGTCTTAATAAAATTAAACGAGAACTTATTAATTAGCGTTATGCCATTCGGTAAGACTAACTATGAATATTGGTATGTACGTTCCCATGAATACTACCAATATGATTAATATAGAAATTTATCTTAGTTAGTTTGCTTATTATATACATATATCGGGCCAAGCGATTATTGACCTATAGCTTAGGTTAGATACCGAATATGATTGTGATCCAATCATAATTTCCAATATTCATTATTAAAACAACATCTTTTAATACAAAGCTTTGCGAGTAACTGGAGTTTTAATCTTTAAAAATTGCGAGAGTATAAAATATTCGGTTACAGCTAAGCCTTTCCTTAATTGTTTTTAGGTCATTATAAGATTTCATCCAAAGTACACATTTAGGTTATTTTTTTTATTGTTTTAATATTTTTAACGAATAAAGGATGAAGGATATTAAAGTTAAAACACCTGTGTCATTGCTACAATTAATTTCTGAGAATTAATTATTAAGTTCAAATTTAATCTGATAGGTATCCGTTTCTGATGCCTGATAATTCCGAAAAAAAAAATCTTAGAAAATATATGTAATCATTTCGAATATACAAATACGAAACCTTAGGAAAACGTGGTATTCTTTAGTTATACTAAGAGGTGTTACTATTCTGTTCAATTTTAGTCAGAAAGGCTTTGAAATTAAGATGTTGTTTTCAACTCATTAGACTCCAGTAGCAACTAATGGTGGTAACACATTTTTTTCTGTTTGATTGCTCAAATAAAAGCTTTATGTGCATGATTTTTTTAAAATCTTATCTTATGAATTAGAGTGTTCTGTCCTTATTTGCATTTTTTTAATTACTCCACTTACTTCTATTTCCTTTTAATTGTTCTGAAGTTATTCTACATACACGCACTCCGGTTGAAATGTGGTTACGTGGTCTGATTCCGGTTGAAATGTGGTTACGTGGTCTGATTCCATCTGTTACTTTATTACTATATTGTGCCTGCTATTTTGCATATTCGTGTAGCCAAGAGAAAGTCTGTACCTATACTTATGGATGCGAGTGTGTCGACTTGTAAACACTTGAAGGTACAATTGCGTGTGAAAAGTTTGACAGTATGTGACAAATTGTGTGGACCTATGCGAGTATGCAAGATTCAACGCTTATTAAACTGTAATATGCCACAGATTCATATAGTCCAATATATACACACTTACACACTCACACACATCCTTCTGTATACACACATACACATATATCTGAGAGAGGCATATAGGCATAGAAATGCTGACAGCAGCAATCACATTGACAATTACTTGACAGCTTTGCCATGCCAACTACTTGGGACTGCAACAAAGTTATACTGCTTCCAGCATCGTTATTGTTGTTTTTGTACTCTCGCAACATGTTGCTACAGAGCATAATAGTTTTGTTCACCTAACGGTTGCTTGTATCACCTAAAACGAATTGAGTTAGATATAGGGCTATATATATAAATGATCAGGATGAAGATGAAAATATACTGTAAGACGGTTGGTATTGCAGATCGGCGTAATCGGACTACTGCCACGCCCACAAAACGCCATTAATCAAAAACAAATAAATTATCACAACGAAGCTTCACAATAAGATACAAGGCTGGTATTTGATACACAGGATCGTATTTAAGAGGGGCATTTGCGGTAAAAACTTTTGTAAACAAAACAAGCCAAAAACATTAAATTTTATCTCTGGGATGGTATAAGATGATCTTATAGGAAGCACGTTCAAAATTAGATAGTGGGCATGGCACCGACCACTTCTAGGTGAAAACCCATATCTTAGGAGCTGCTTAACCGATTTCAACCAAACTCGGTACATAACACTCTTCTCATATGTCTATGTTATAGTAAGAAAATGGGCGAAATCGGATTACAACCACGCCTATTTCCCATATAACACACTTTTAAAGTCCATCTGATTTTTTAACTTTCCAGTAAGCAAATCAAGCAACAATGATTATATCGGCGTAAAAGTTTGCGTGAATAATACGTTTAAAGTATGCAACTTTGTGACCAAAAATTGTCTAAATCGAATCAAAACTGTTCAAGCCCCTAGGTACTGAATATGTGGACCCCAGTGCCTATAGCTGACTTTTTACCGAAAATATCGGTCAAAGTAGAACAAGGCGGCAAGATCTACGAAGAAATCTAAAACGAGTATACCATTCGACTTTGCGAGAGTATAAAATGTTCGGTTACATCCGAACTAAGCCCTTCCTTACTTGTTGTAAATGTTGTTGCCACTGCAACATTGTCGGTGATTTCTAAAGTGCTCATTGAGCGCTTGCCTGCAAAATGGCGCATGAAAAATGCATGAAATGAGCCTACGGCTACAAAATGACTAATATCTTAAATTTAGGCACAACAACAACATACAAGAACAATTGCAAGTCAAGATGAGTACGCTGCGATACAGATACATTGGTTATGCACACACAGACACTGTCGCTGAACTGCAGAAAAATGTGTGAATAGGCACTTATTGGATTGCAAGTGAAAGTATGATTAAGGTGGAGATAAAAATAAAGGCAAATTAATTCAAAATGTCTTAACAGTGCAAATAACTGTAATTCACTGTAAACTGCGTATTTGAGGAACAACTCTTCCTTATTAAGGGTAAGTATCTTGAGCATAGCTCTACTTTGTAGAGTTGTAAGCGAGTTTGTAAACCTAAAGAATAATTGGATCTATACAATATTATGTTGCGTAACAAGACACTCTATGTTTACGAAGCACTACCCGAGTGAACGTAGAAGCTGTTCGGAAAATTTTAAACGGTAAACTGTTGCCACCTGTTGGAAATTGTTAGGTAAAAATTAAATAAACGGGGGAAATAAGTATCCCAATATATATCACTTACGATTTTTAATAATTTATATAATTGAAAAAAAAAAAAATTTGTGGAGCGTTGCCAACTTTTTATATTGTTCCACGAAAATTAGGATACAAACCAATGAATATAGTATGAGTAAAAGGCTAAAGAAGTTAACAGTTAAGTTGGGTTGAAAAAAAAGTATAAGGTTGCCACCTGTTTGAGAATTTTAAACAAAAATTGTTTGTGTTTATAGGGAAG